CACCTTTGTCACTGAGAAGATATTGACTGTCTCTCAGAGCATGGTGATGTGCCTGAACCAGCTAAACAGGCAGCCAGTGCACAATTAGCATCACCAGATTGGGATACTCAATCTCACTTTGGGGACCAGCCATGAATGACTAATTTAGCTTCTGCAAATGTTAGTTATTTTTCCCTGTAAATAGAGGTCAGACCAATATTGTCTAACTCAAATGACTGTGATAATCAAGACCTAAGACATAGAATGTCTCTTATAAGCTATAATCTTTTACACAGCATTATGGTGCTGACCGGGGACTGTGATGGACACAGTGCAAAGCTCCTGGGTTCAATTGCATATGTTACACTGTGAATAAACATTTAAATGCCTGATTAATAAAAATGGAAGCAAAAAGTTAATGGGTAATTGTGTAAATGTGGTACTTTCCAGTCAGACAGGTCCTAATGGAAGAAAGTATAACTTAAGTTTCTGATTGAATAAGAAAAGGGGCAAATTTGGTATCTTGAAGGAAGGTGGTGCCTAGAAGATCCTTCTGAAGGGAAAGTATGAGGCCTCGAGGAGGAAAGAGGGAAAGCCTAGATGAGGGATGAGGACCCTACGCCTGAGCAGAGGCAAGTTTTACATCTTATGTTAAGGGCTCACAGCATCTGAAGGAGAGGGGAATCCTTAATGCTTTGTGAGCTCATCACTCCAGGGGACCAGTTCCTACCCGCTTCCCATGAGACAGCCCTTGACTATGGCCCCAGATGGGCCTTTGAACCAATTTTCAAATGCAAAGTAGCCACAGAGTCCTTGGACTTGATAGCAGCTTCACTGGAGCAAAGGGTTGCCTCTACAGAAAAGCTGAGACCATGACTTTCCCTTGATTTGTCTTTGTTATTATTGTGCTTGTTGGATTGTTTGCCTTATCTGAGCCCTTGAAGCCTAAGATTCTGATCTGTAATAATGACAGTCACTGATGCCCAGTTAGATTCCAATTGTTTCCCCAACTGGAGTCAGTCTGAAGTTGAAGAGTGGTATCAGAAAACAATACCAAGTTAAATTGATCAGTTACCATGAGCAGTGGCCTACTAAATAATTATTAAAAGATTGACTCAGTGAATCCGTTTATGATTATGACTCCCGAACTATCAAAATATAAAAACAGAATTCCCCAATGAAGAAGTAATAAATAGGACTCATTACCAGGAGAATGTAATGTTACCTCTCTCAGAGGATCTAGACTTTTCAGTGGCATTTTTAGCATCGATGACCCTATTAAACTCTGTTATTTTCTTCCTAATTCATGCCATTAACACATGATTTTCATTTAACTTCCCCATGGCTCACTTCTTTCCTTCAGAACATTTCCATATGATTCCCTGATAAAGCCCGTGTTTTAACACATTTTCATTATAAAACTATAATCAGCAACTGAGTAGCAATATAAAATAGGGAGAACATAGAGAGCTGACAGAAGAAATTGGGCGTCTGGGTAGTTCATTTTTTTAATGTTATTTTATTGTTTAAAGTATTACAATTAGTAGTACATACGTCTCCTTTTTTTCCCCATTGACCTCCCCCCCCAGCCTCCCCTACCCCCCAGCACATTCCCTCACCCTCCCCCCAGTGTCTTGTGTCCATTGGTTATACTTATATGGATGCATACAAGTCCTTCGGTTCATCTCTTACCCGCCTCCAAGCCCTCCCTTGCCTTCCTGCTGTAGTTTGACAGTCTGTTCAATGATTCTTTGCCTCTGTATCTATTTTTATTCATCAGTTCATAATGTTATTTATATTCCACAAATGAGTGAGCTGCCTTTTTGCCTCTTCCAGGTGTTGTGGATCCTCTAGGTAAGATTCCTTTGCCTGGTGGACAAGGGCTCTAAGGAGACAATTCTCACAATTGTTAAGGGATGGCCTTTTTTCCATTAACAAAATCATCACGTAGTGCCTTTTGATAAAATAGTGATTGCTATTCCTCACCAAAGCCCATAATGGAAAGAAAAGTTTTCATTTCTATTCCTTCTTATTGTCCTTTGAGCTTTGTAAAGTACCTCTTACGTGTTCCATTTAGTGGGCTTATTTTCTCTAGAAAATTAACTAAGAGTCATTTAGCAACCTGGCCACATTCAAACATTAGTTTAATTCAACAAGTTCTTGTTGAGCACTACCCTCCACTCCCTGTCTTGTGAAATACAGACATCATAGAAACGTTGTCCCTGCCTAAGACTCACACATTTCTTTTTTAAGTAGTCACATAAATAACACTGCTATTCCAGATCTGAGTCCTGGTTAAATATGCTGATAGAAAAGCATACTTAGGTATGCAGAATACAAATTGTGTTTCTTTGAGCATATTCTCAATATTACTTAAGATAAAAAGTAAACACATATGGTATTAAGACTGAGATAAAAAAAAAAGGCTATGATCCTATGAGAAAATAGGAAACATATAGAGCAGTGGTTCTCAACCTTGGCTGCACATTAGAATCACCTGATTTTAAAAAGATTCCCAGGTGATTCTAATGTGCAGCCAGGGTTGAGCACCACTGATATAGAGGAATCAAAGTGATGACTTTTTCAAATGTGTCTGCTCCCCTAGAACCCACCGCCCTAGCCACCACCACTGTCCCCACGCTGTACATGTGCATGTGACATTATAATGTAGCTACAAGAGTGCTTAAAACTGAGGCTGTCACTTGAGTACCAAAAGCAAGGAAACATGGGAAACTGGAAACATGGGGAGAACCTTGTGGAAGTGTTGGGGTTTACTGTGCTTTGAGGGAAGGGTAGCGATTTATCAGCTAGAAGTGACAGTGTGAACGTCGTTAAAATGGCTGATGCATATGGGGGGCATGTCAAGTAAACCCATGGGACTGGAGAACCTTCGTTAAGAGGAGCTATTTTTCCACCGTTAATCAAGAAGGTGGTCACCATCGTCCTACATAGACCTACTCCCTGTCTTCCAGAAGCTTGTCACTGAGGTTAGCTACTCTGCTACAGGTGGAGTAGGCTGGCACATAAAGAATAAAAGCAGTAAATCAATCTATCACCAAGCGTTCAAGGTTTATATAAGAGGTACATGCAACTAACACTTTTTCATTTTCCATCTGACCTTGGGGCTTTTGATGGCTGGATTTGTACGCTTGGCCTAGCATCGATAGTTTTAGAAAAATAGGTTCATCTCAGGGAGGCTATCCCACCATTTGCTTATGGATGGGCACATCGGGAGGTGTGGGAGAAATTGTTTTTAATGAATTTCTTCTCCATCCCCTGTTTGTGCAAAGTGGTTTGACAGACTTTCTTGTATCTCATATGCAAATCAACAAGCTTTCTTTGAATTGTCTGATACATATTAAGGAGCTTATAAAATGAACCTATAAATTTAGTGAGAGCTTCAAGTCCAGGGTACAGTTGGGTCAACTAACCTTCAGTGGCTGTCAGCTCTGTTTCCTGGTGTCTGTTTGGGTGGGGTCATGTCTTTTCAATTTTATAGATTTTTTCTCTTACCTCTAGCATCCTCTGAGGTTTTTTTTAGCACTTTCCTCCCTTACACGTTATTCTAATGTAGGCACTGCTCCTGACCCTTTCATTTCATTCTTGTCGGCATTCACAGCAAGAAATGTGATTCTTTTATGACTTAATTCCTACTTTTCCTACACCCATTTCCACTTCTATTTTCCATCTCCTTTCATTTTGCCCTCACATATTTTTCACTTCGTGGTTTCCCTTATCCATGTGCACTCTACATGAGAGCCAAATAGAACCCCGCAGATAAAAATAGTTTCTGACATTATTTGTGATTCCAAAGATGTAGTCTCACAAATAACCTTTTTTCGTTTGATTCCCATCTAACATGCTGACAGTGCTCCAATCTCGTCTTCTGATTATCCCATTACATAGTGCTTTCCCCTGCATTTAGTAGAAACTCGGAAGTAATGGTTCTATTTGGATAGCACTGCCTAGTCATCATTTACAATTTTATGGAATTAGAAAGGCGAGGGGAGGAAAGGATCCAGGCTTACATTTTTATTTAAGAGGAAAGGCATTAATTAACTATTTGGGTAATGGGCTGAGCCACTCTTTATCAGCAGGCTAAACTAGAGCCATCGTTGTGGGCTAGAGCAACATTTCACACCAGGGAACAGTTTTTTTTCTTACCGAGGAAGAACACTGTGCTCTATATTGATAACTAATACATTTTAAATTCAACCTCTAAAAGGCAGACAAATTCATTTAACTACCCATCAATTTCAGGAAAAAAATAATTGCAAACAGATAGGAAGTAACCTAAGAATTAATTTATGGCACCCAGTGAATTTACCATGACATTGTAGGTATTCACAGTCAGCAATCATGCACAGCCTCTGACAGTTAGACAGCATTTGTTGTGCATGCGTATGTGTGTGTGTGTGTGTGTGTGTGTGTGTGTGTGTGTTTTAGCTATGCTCTGAACACATCCTACAAATAGCTACATTCAGATGAAGCCACGATGCCCAGGAGGCTAAATGATTGCCTGCTAGCACTGATCATTTGGGAGCCTAAAAAGAAATTTTTGGTGCAAAAATACCACTTTTCTTATGCATTCTAAAAACCTGTTATGTTCAGGAGTAAATTTCCCTTCCATGTATTTGTTTCAATTGACATCTTAAAGTACATCTGAGAATACAATACACCATATAATTGAGAGCTGAACCGGCTAATAGATGCTGTGTGAGCTCTTTGAGGAAACGAAATGATAATGGAATCCCTATTCTCGTTGATGGGGAATGACTGTCCTTTGTTCTCTTCTGCAAAGGCATACCCTCATATCTTAGTTGATTTCCCTGGTATATTTCTTTAGGCAAATCCGTAATTTCAGAGAAGCCAAATATATCTTGCTTTGAGGGATATAATTGGCCGTTTGGACCAGAGTGTAGTTCTCAGATTATGCTCAGCAGGCATTGCAAAAAGAGAGGCATTTTTTCTATAACTTGGGTAGTTTAACATACTTTTTTTCCCTTTGCTGTTCTTCACAGGTGCATGAGGCAGTCCCGTGTTACAGTGAGTGCAATCAGTATTCCTGGGTTGTAGAACACTGGTCCCCATGCAGAATCCACAACGAGCTGAGGCCCTTGCGCTGTGGCGGAGGAATGCAATCTAGGAAAATCAGGTGTGTGGAACGGAGGCATTTGGGGAAGGGGGCAGTGGGGCTTCGGCATTTCTGTAAAAACAACAGCGTTGTTTGCCAAGCACATTCTGACTTTCACACAGTGTACTCTGGCTTTCGCTCATTTCTAAGAATCCATGGAGCACATGTGCCCTCCGCTGCCAAAAGGGGGTGGGAATTCCTCAGCAATGAAGCCACCATCCTTACCGTTTCCCCCCAATGCCTTTGGTGGGCAGCCGATGGCATGGAGCGGCTGGCATCCCTCCGCTGACTCCTGGCCATCACTGTTAACAAACTAGGAGATTTGACCGTGTTGCCATGTTTCTCATAAGAAGAGGAGATTAGGACATAGACACACCCAGAGGAAGACAGCAGGTGAGGACCCAGTGAGAAGAGGGACACCCACACGCCCAAGATGGAGACCTCAGGAGAACCGATTCTGCCAACACTTTGCTCTCAGACTGCTAACTTCTACATTGTGAGAGCATACATTTCTGTTCAGGCCACCCAGTCCCTGGCGTTTTGTTATGACATCCCTTGCTAACTCACACATACTCACTGTGTCATGTGATTTATGTGCACGATCACATTTACTGGTAAATATGTGAAGCGGATTTTCCAGGAATTTTGCAATGCAACCATTATTGAGTTTAATAGCATGCTCTTCTTTTTTTCTTAAACCTCACCTGAGGATATTTTTTCATTGATTTTTAGAGAGAATAGAAGGGAGAGAGGGAGGGTAACAGAGAGAGAAGCATTCATTTGAGCGAGACACATTGATTGTTTGCCTCCCGCATGCACTTCTACCAGGGCTGGGGATGGAAACCTGACACCCAGGTTCATGCCCTTGACCGAAAATAGAACCCATGACCCTTCCATGCCCAGGTCAATGCTGTAACCAGTGAACCACACCAGCAAGGGCAATAGCATGCTGTTGTAATACATGAAACGGCTTATCTGTTCTCTTTCTTAAAACCTACAGAGTGGAGGACATCTTCATAGTTCATGCATGACTGCTATCACTTATTAATTTAAAAAATAGCCTTTGAATCTTTGCCTTCTATGATCAGGCACTGTTCCAGGAACTGGGGATAAGGGGAACAAACAGTTCCTGTACTCGAAGACATTAGTAGCAGAGAAAAAGTAGACACATAAGTAAATATATTGGAAAGTCTTTGTTTCTAACTGCCAAGAAGAAACATAAAATTGGGTCAGAGAGATGACGGATACTATTTAGGGGAGGTTGACCAGCAATATTTGAGGAGGGACCCAAATAAATGAGGTTCTATAGAAAGAGGATTCCAGGGAGGAAGAAGCATCCAAACCAGGAACCTAGTGGGCTTGTGATAACAAGGTAAATAACAAGCTGCCCCATGTGCTGGCGCCAGTACTCAAATCATGTAGTCTTCTAGAGCAAGGTAAAAGGAGATGATTCCTTTTGCTATCCTGGAAAAGGTAAAAAAAAATATGTATGTGTGTGTGTGTGTGTGTGTGTGTGTGTGTGTGTGTATATATATATATATATATATATATATATATATCCCAAGTTCAAAGGCTGTTAAATCGCGTTGTTTACTCATATCTTCAGAAAAAAAAAACACTTCTACTGTCATGGTAAACAACCTGCTTCCTGTTTATAATGGTCTGGCCCTCTAGCAACTTCAGCGTGAAATTATAGCTAATTTGCCTACAAACATTAGGTGGTCATAATAATCTGGCCACTCAGTGTATATGCCTAAGTGACCATCACAACCAAATGGACAACCGAACAGGCTGCATGAGGCATCCAGACCAACAGGGGGCTTAGTGAGGGGCAACCAAACGACTGAGCAGCAGGCTGCTTGGGGCAACCAGGCCAGCAGGGTGGCAGTTAGGGCAACCAGGCCAGCTGGACAGGGCAGTTGGGGGTGACAGGGCCAGCAGGGGGTGAAGTAATGGGCGACCAGGCCAGCAGGGGGGGGCAGTTAGGGGTGATCAGGCAGGCAGGCAGGTGAGCAGTTAGGAGCCAGTGGTCCCGGATTGTGAGAGGGATGTCTGCCGGTTTAGGCTCAATACTGGCAGTGAGACATCCCCCAAGGGGTCCCAGATTGGAGAGGGTGCAGGCTGGGCGGAGGGAACTTCCCCTCCCCTGTGCACGAATTTTGTGCACCGGGCCTCTAATATATATATTCCTCTAGAGGCTCCAGGAAGGAATGGAGCTCTGCCAAAGCACCAAGTTAGCCTAGTGAGATCCACACTGGATTTCTGTGCTTCAGAATGATCAGATAATAAATTTACATTGTTTGAGACATTAAGTTTGTGGTGAGTTTTACAGTGTGTTGCCTTTAACTTAAATTTTTGTTTTCAGTATGATATTAAGGGACTGTGTATTTTCTAATCAAAAGGCTCTCGTTATGACCCCTTCTAGCTAATAAACTTTCAGTTCCCTGCATTGGCAGAGAGGGACTATCACTGAGCTGTGTAGATTAGGGGAGGGGATCCCAGGGACCGGCTACTTAAACACACTTTCAATAAATTCTCCAGTTTTTCAGCCTCTTTCATTCATATTTTCAGGTGTACTTAGTGACACAAATTCCCAAATAGCTCATGTGTTCTGTGGTGTAAATGGAGGTACTTTCTTGTTTTTCCTTGAAGAATTCATATTCAGCTTTCCTGGTGTGATAAGGCAGTTAGCACTAGCCCATTCATTTTCCTTTTGTTGCCTTTGTCTTCTTGTTCTTTGTCCTCACAGGGTAATGCCTTTCCCTCTCTCTTGGTGTGTGTGTGTGTGTGTGTGTGTGTGTGTGTGTGTGTGTGTGTTTGTGTGTGTGTGTGTGTGTAAAAAAAGACTGGTGCATAAGTTCAACTAGTCACCATTGACCAGAAGTAGCCTTACCTCTTCTTCTCAGTGAAATGATAAAAGGACATCAGCTGAGAGTATGTGGTCAAAATGAAAAGCAATTTCCAGCTTTAAATTTGTCCAGGGAAAGAGAAAAAAGCCACCTCGTGGTCCCTCCTTCCACTATTGACTGTTACTGCAGGAGAAATTAAAGTCTAAGGATAACTCTGTACCATGCCTCCCTATATAGGAAATCATTACATACTTATGTCTTCTCTCTGTCTGCCGTTTTCTCCTACCCTCCTTTATACATTGCTTTCCCATTACTTAGCACCTAATAAAGTTTATTTTATTTTGTGCCTAGTGATTGACTACAATTTTCCTAAAATTTTAAACAATTATTAATATATATATGTAAAAAGACTCCTACTATGTAGAACAATTCACTTCAGCACAGCATGATTTGGGGAGTACCAAAAGCTCTCCTGCACACCCCCCTTAAGATGTTTTCTCCTTGGCTGTGGCCTTGTGTCTGAAATAACCAGGCCAGCAAATGGTACCTTTTATCCCATCATCATGGTCATCTTCACCTTTACTCTGATCATTGTCACTCCAAGAACATATTGGCAACAATAAAGATCCTGCCTGTCATTGTTTCAGTTGTGTGCACCAGCATCCAGGCAAGGGCCTGGTGCACTGTAAACCCTTAAAAATATTTACTAAGTGAATTATTACTAACAAAGAATAACATTTTATACCAACACGTAGCAAAAGAGCTTGTACATACCAAGTCATTATTAAACACTTTTGAGAAAATATTTTTTTTAATATATTTTATTGATTTTTTTACAGAGAGGAAAGGAGAGAGATAGAGAGCCAGAAACATCGATGAGAGAGAAACATCGATCAGCTGCCTCCTGCACACCTCCCACCGGGGATGTGCCCGCAACCCAGGCACATGCCCTTGACCGGAATCGAACCTGGGACCCCTCAGTCCGCAGGCCGATGCTCCATCCACCAAGCCAAACCGGTTTCGGCAAGAGAAAATATTTTTTAAATAATCTAATTGATAGCTTATATAATAAAAGGCTAATATGCAAATCGACCAAATGGCAGAATGACCAGTCTCTATGACGTGCACTGACCACCAGGGGGCGGATGCTCAACGCAGGAACTGACCTCTGGGGGTCAGTGCTCTTCCACAGGGGGGCGCTGCTCAGCCAAAAGCCAGGCTCACTGCTGGCGAGTGCAGCTGCGGTGGTGGGTGCCTCTCCTACCTCCGTGGCAGCAAGGATATCCAATTGCCGACTTAGGCCCGCTCCCTGGACTGCAAGAGGGCGCAGGCCGGGCTGAGGGACACCCCCGCCCCCAAGTACATGAATTTCATGCACCAGGCCTCTAGTCCCATCTAATAAAAGAGTAATATGAAAATGGACCATCACTCCAACACACAAGATGGCCACCACAAGATGGCCAGTAGGGGAGGACAGTTGTGGGCGATCAGGCCAGCAGGGAAGGGCAATTGGGAGGGACCAGGCCTTCAGGGCAGTTGTGGGTGATCAGGTCTGTGGGGGAGGGCAGTTGTGGGCGATCAGGCCTGCAGGGGAGGGCAGTTGGGGGGGACCAGGCCTGCAGGGGAGGGCAGTTGGGGGGGACCAGGCTGGCAGGGGAGGACTGTTAGGGGCAACCAAGCTGGCAGAGGTGGACAGTTAGGGGCAACCAGGCCTGCAGAAGAGGACAGTTAGGGGCAATCGGGCTGGCATGGGAGCAGTTAGGCATTTATCAGGCTGGCAGGGGAGTGGTTAGGGGGTGATCAAGCTGGCAGGCAGAAGCAGTTAGAGGCAATCAGGCAGGCAGGCAAGTGAGCGGTTGGGAGTCAGCAGTCCTGGATTGTGAGAGGGATGTCTGACTGCCCATTTAGGACTGATCCTACTGGCAGTAGGACATCCCTCAAGGGGTCTCAGATTGGAGAGGGTGCAGGCTGAACTGAGGGACACACCCCCCGTGCATGAATTTCGTGCACTGGGCCTCTAGTATAATATAAATACAGAGAAAGACCACATCATAGGGGTATAGCTTGGTGACTTTTCATAATGTGAACACACCTTGAACCACCCAGAGACCAAGACACAAGATACTACCAGGACCACCTAAGCCCCTGTCAGTCAGTAACCCCAAATGTAATCACTATTCTGACTTCTGAGACCACGGAAGAGTATTGTCCATTTAACTTTATGTGAATGGGATTATAAAGAATGTTCTTTTGTGTCAGCTTCTTTTTTTTAATATATTTATAAGCTTTACCCATGCTCTTGTATGCAACCATAGTTCATGCATTCTCACCACTGTATAGCATGTAATTGTGTTAATTTACCACAATGTATTTGCTTTATGTTGCTGGCTACATAGTCTAGGTAAACTGTTTCTAGTTTGGCTGATTATGAATAGTGGTGCCATGAACATTTTCAGTCATAGTATGGTGCATGTTTTTCCACATTTGTTTTGCAGAGGAATATAAAATTGGGATTGTTGGAATACACTGTATGTATATGTTTAGTTTTAGTAGATACTGTCGCCTAATTTACCAAAGAGTTTGTGCTCCAACTAGCAGAGTTAGAAGAGTTAAATTTTCTCCACATTCTTGCCAACGCTTTGATATTTTTTGTGTTTTTATTTAAGCCATTCTGGTGGATGTATATAGTGGTATAAGACTTGGGTTTTCATTTGATGGTATCAACATCATGATCATTTATTTAACTTTCACCAGCATTTATCTCAAAGCCCGACACCGGAGAGTCCAAACAACTATAATGTGTGCATCTGTATCTTGTGCACAAAAATGCTTGCTCATTGTCCTTTGGTTTATGGCATCAAAACTTCCTATTGATTTACAGAAAACACCTAAAAGAAAAACATGTTCAATTAATATTCACTTTACTTTGTCCTGACCTTAAATGTGTTGGACACAGATTACGGAGGCATAGATGATATGATAGGAGATAGAAGTCTAGGGAAAGTCTGAAGGAATCACGGCAACCAGAGGTCCTGGCTATTACAAAGTGATGGGTTCATTCTGAAAAGGAGCGCCTTCAAGATTTGCTACAATAAAAAGAAAATTCACTCTGTGCTGGACCTGAGCAAACATATTGTAGGTCTCTTTAGAGTGAGAGGTGTTCAAGGACAGTAGTTATCTCTGGTCCCTGTTTATCTTTCCTGCTCTGCGGAATAAAGGGGTCAGCACAGAGTTATCACTCCGTGAAGGCACTGGAATTTTTTTCCTGGTTTCTCTGCTCATCTTATGTTATGTTTGAGGAGTAACTAACTATGATACCTCACGACTAAATGTACTCTCTACTGTTTGAAGTCATCACATTATGTTGTGCTCTTGCCTCACAGATGTGTGAACACGGCCTCCAGGGAAGGTGGGGCAGTAAATAACAGCTTCTGCAACCAGGACGAGATGCCCCCAGAAACCCAGCCCTGCTCGCTTCTGTGCCCCAGTGAATGCGTCATGTCCGAGTGGGGAACCTGGAGCAAGTGCCCACAGGTAACTCTCTCCCCCGCCAGCGCCCTAATCCCATGGTGCGGCCTTCACTAGACAGTCACAGTGCTGCTCTCAAAACCATTCTTCTAGTCCTAGAGGAAAATATTGTTGCCTAAGAAAGGAAAAGAAAAAAAAATTCAGCTATCAAGACTGAGCAATTTAAAATGCCAGTGCCTCTTTTTAGGCATTTATCAAGGGAACCGAACAGGGAAAATGAGCCTATAATGATGATGCTAGGATTTGAACGCGCTCCCATTGTTAAAGTGGTCTCTTAAGTACTCAAACGATTCTCATTGTCATCTCTTGGTCCTGTTCCATTTTTATCATGGCAGAATCAATTTTATCTGAGGAGCTCAACTCCACTGTGTAATTTAGCTTCTGTTAGTGATGATCTGTTTTTGTCTTTTGCTGTTGTTCCCAAAGATGTGGTGTTCTTTGGCCATATTTTCCCAGAACTTAACAAAAACAAACCTTTTTGAAGTCCAAAGAATTAGCTTTCATTGTTCTTTTAAAAAATGAAAACATAACCAAATATGCCAAAATGAATATTCTTCAAGTAATGTGGTTCAGTTTAATATTCTCAGAAGATAAATTTCAATGTTGTATTAGACACATATTTCTGCCTAAAGCACTAAAAATAAAATTAGGATAAGGAACATATTATATGGGTCCAAATATGAGGAAGGAAAGAAGTAGGATCTTTGAATTCAATGGTGGTACTGATGTTTGTGGAAAGCTTGTGTAAAATCTTCATACAAATGAAGTCCATTATACAGACGGAGAAACTGATCCTCAGGAAGGCTAAGTAGCTTACACGAGGGTCCACAGTGATTAAGTGCTGCAGCTGGGCATGAACCTTATTCTGTTTGAGAAAGCCAGAGCCTTTGCTCTTACAACCTTGGTTCACTTCTCTTAGAAGAATTAAGGTAGATTTAGACTCAATATTTCTCTTGCTTTAAGATGCAACATTTTTTAAAGAACAAAGTGAGTTATTTTAGCAAGTTATAATAATCTGTATGATTATACCATGACTGAGTACATATAATCACAGTTTAGAAAGTGTGGTAGCCTACACTTTTTATTAATCAATTTGCAGAAGAATTAACAACCTGAAGAAGTTTAATTAAATGTAGAGGCCATGATTTCTCTCACTTCCTTTTTTCTAATTTGCTCACAGCAGAATCCATTAAGCTGTGAGCACTTTGCAATGAAAATGTTGCCCTCTTAAGTCAAAGTACTGACTACTAAGTGAAAATGTTTGCTGGAGGAGCGTTTTGTGCAGGGTCCTGATGACTGGCGTTGTGTGTTTGCTTCTTTGGGTTTCTAAGAGACACTTTTCTTTAAGGTTTTCTTTTCTAAACATAGTCACTCTATTTTTTGAGTGTTTGTTAATTGGAGACAGAGAAAATATTTTAACCTCCTTTTGTGCGTCTGGAAGATGACATAGGTACTTGCTTGTCACCATGGGGTTGTCCTTCACCTGCTTATATATCTTTGAAGATACGTAGTAATAATAATAATAATAATAATAATAATGTAATAGCAATAACAATAATAGTTATGGCAACAGCAACAACAACTTTCATTGAGCACATCTTCAGTAAACAACATTGTGCTGGAGTTAAACAGCGCTATGTTCTGATGCTAGACATTATCCATGGTCACTCAGGTCTGACAGAGCATGTTCTTCCTCAGATGTCCCTCGTTCTCTAGTATAAATAAAGACTTTAAAGTGGAAAAAACGTTAATTAGTACACACAACTTGTAAGTTTCCCTATCTCTATATATGTTGCATAATTTTAATAAATTGCCACATCTTAGCATAATGCGCCAACATCATAGATGCTTAAACAGTACTTGGCGATGATCATGATCATGATAATGGCAAAGTTAGCAAGCTGGATCTTTATGACTAAAGTTTAATTAGCATATTAATGTGCATTTTCTGAGAAAAAAAATAGAAACAATTATTGTGTAATTGTTCTCTATACTGTGTTGAATCACAGTACAATATTGGCCATTATTCTACCAAATTCTCTTTTGATAGTCTGCAGTGTGACATACGTTAATGGAACCAATTCACTATGTTTTGTTTTTTACTCTCCTTTGTTTTCTTCCCAGGGCAGTTCTTTAAAACCAAACACTTAACAAACAAAAAACAAAACAAAAATAAATTTTTAAAAAAGCAGAATATTTCTGAGATAAAAATATATTTATATTTCTCTTTTTATGCTCCATCCCAGAGATTGCAATTTGGTGGGTCTGGGTAGAGCCCATGAAATTGCATTTCTAACAAGTTTCCAGGTGATGCTAATTCAGCCACTTTGGAGAACACTCTTTGGGTCACAAGTCTCTTGGTCATTACATTCTAGTCATGTTCTTTCTCAGTATCACTTTAATGACAATATCATGTGGAAACTTAGCTTATATTTACAGATGCTTTCCATGTGCTAGACAATGTATTCAGCATTTACTTATTATCCCATTTAATCTGCACAGTGTCACTATTAAATACATACTATTATTCCTCCAATGTATAGATGAATAAACTAAGTCTCAGAGAGGGGTTAGTGACCTGTTGTTTTTTTGTGCTAGTAAAAGGCACAGTGACTATATAAGCCCAGGTAGTCTATATAGGGTGGGACAAAAGTAGGTTTACAGTTGTGCGTACCGAGTTTATTCTTGTATTATTATTAACTATTGTATTATTTTCCATAAGAACAACTGTAAACATACGTTTGCCACACCCTGTACATTTCTAACCTCTACAAAGGAAATAGAAATTACACTTCCTGTCCTTGAGAATATTATAGCCTGTCAAGTCTGTTACCTGCTTTTTTGCTTTACTTCGGTTATGGATTCGTGAAGTTAAGATTTTTCAAAATTGAATAACCTACCTCATTTGAATAGATTGCCAAGTAACGGAAGGAAGGACTCATGAAAGGATGTGGTCTAATGTCCTGGAACACTTGGCTGTGTGATTGTGGCCAAGTTACTTAAGTCTCTGAGCTACAGTTTCCTTTTAAGGAAAATAACAATGACAGCTGCTTTTTCCTGATTTTTTAATGATTGAGACAATGCATATAAAGTAAACAGCACATAGTATAATTTAATACAAGTTTGTTTTAAAAGCTGCAAATCATTATTTTCATTGGCCGGGAAACAAAAGACAGGTGGCCATACATTTTCTAAGCCATATACTGAATATTCCTTTTCCCACACAAAATGAGTTATTACTTGATCTTAAAGAAGTGAAATGTCACCTCCTTTGCTAGAAAATGTCTTATGCCTAATTTAAGAGTAGTCCCCAAAAGTAAGGCATCAGAAAGATAACTTTGAATGGGTTACTGACCAACATACCCCTAATTGCAAGCCATACCAAAGAGCAAATAAGACAAAGGCACTAAAAATTGTATGAGGACCATTTTATCTGTATTGGGAAGAACTGGGGACTAAATGGGTCAAGGAAAAACACAATTCAAGGCTAACTTTGAAGAAAAAGGAAAACCATGATTTTCATGTACTTATTTTCATAATATATATATATATACATATACAGGGTGTCCCAAAAATTTATAAACACACTCTAACAGCTGAAAGTTTAATTGATTTTTTTTCCAGATTTAACCCATTGGAATTATTATAATTATTCAAAATGTGTATACATTTTTGGGACACCCAGTTTATATGTAAAATTTATTTTTTTTACTTAAATACTCACTTTTCCAGCATGCTTTAATATAAAAGGAAACATGGAATTTGTACATCAAAAACCCGTGCAATAGTGTTTGTTCTTTAAATACTTGTGTATAAATACACATGTGTATATGTATCTATACACATATGTACAAATATACAAATGTATATATTTAACAGTTTATTGTTTATTACCCTTTATTCCTATTTTTCTCTACCTATTTTTTTTTAGTTTTTATCTTTATGTTTCATACTTCAAAATTATGTTCATGAGAATTCATAGAATTATATATTCTTCAGGAGAGGTTTATCAATTTCTGAATTCAGACACTGTTCAGCCCCTGATATATCTGAACAAATATATGGTTCTCTTCATTTATGCCACCAATCCCTGCAGAAAATTTCTGATAAATAATACAGATTTTCTATTTATGACTCTCCTTGGAGACTTGACAAAGGAAAATCTTTTTTTTTTTTTTTAAATATATATTTTATTGATTTTTTACAGAGAGGAAGGGAGAGGGATAGAGAGTTAGAAACATCAATGAGAGAGAAACATTGATCAGTTGCCTCCTGCACACTCCCTACTGGGGATGTGCCCGCAACCAAGGTACATGCCCTTGACCAGAATCGAACCTGGGACCCTTGAGTCCACAGGCTGATGCCCTATCCACTGAGCCAAACCGGTTAGGGCATACAAAGGAAAATCTTAATCAATCATATTAATAGAAAGAAGCAAAGAGGATCTTGGAGAGGAATTACCAAACTGATACATATTTTACAGAAGCAAGCTTTTGGAATCCCTCTCCAGAAAGAGGACTCAAGTTTAGCAAACCCATTTGAACTTGTATTGATTCACTTCAAGCTGAATGCATCAAGGCTGGCGAGAACTATAGCCACCATCCCCTTACACTGCGGGAAATGGAAATTCAATGCACAGTGGTTCAAGCGCAGCCTCCTGGTCAAACAGTGGCTCGGATCTTTGCATTATCACAGGACAATCTCTGAAGAAGGATCAGGAAGGAAGAATACATAGGGCTTCAGTATAATCAAATCTGACTTCTATTATAGACTTAGTAGTGTGCTTCCAAAATACATCTTATTTATATATTTTTCTCCAGCTCTTTATGAGTGCAGGGTACTCTAGTGAAAGCCGTTGTGGGTATATATCAGCAGATACACACTGCCATTACTCCTGCAAGTAGTGACACTTCTTTAGAAGAGAAAGAAAAATGCACTCATTTTCTGATACATGCTCAAGAGCTAAGCAGTTGAGGTTAAGAAAAATACCTTTTTTCATGGTGTTC